CTAATTCGTTCTGGAACAGGAAGAGTGCTCTCTTGCAGTGGAAACAATACCACTCTCACCCTATTTTCTTGTGGACTGGAAAGCCACCACTGTGTATCATTAAGAAAACAGTTCTGTGTTAGCACTGACAACAATAACACTAAGGAGGAATTTGGGAGTTCTGTTTATGCACATTAAATTTCCTACAAGTAGTTCTTCAGGAGCTCAAATGGTTTTGTGCAGTGAGGAGCTTTCCTGAGCCTAACAATTTCCAACAAGGAAAAAATTCTGTTTCCATAGAAACATCCGAGGTGGACCAAGCATGGATTAATCAAAATACAATGATGCCTTTTTGCAAGGTACTAGGAAAAAAAATCCAGTTTTAAGTGAGCACTGCTGCTCTTTCCTTCCATTCACACAAGAAAGCATGGGAAATTCTCCCCAAATGTCTATGTGACACACAGTTTAATTAGCACAATAAAAAGTTAGGTTTCTTACATTCATAATTAGCATGTCATTTGGAACTAGAGCCAAGGATATATTAACATGAAAACAAGAGAGTGAAATAAATAATTTAAAATTAAATTTACATTCCTTTTTTATTTGCTACTGGTTATATCAAGTGGCTCTTCTTATGTTTAAAAAATTTTAGTTGCTTTTTCTGTATTCTTAGTACTGAAGGCTCATTCCTTGGTAGTGAAGGCTCTTTCTGATATTCAAAATCCAAGCTATGGGTTAGGAATTTTTTTTCTTGTTGTTGAAATGAGTATGCATGATATTATATCATTCTCAGCTACCATCACAGAATTTTCTGACAACAGAATTTAGCTGCGAGTTCTGCCATTGCTCAGGGATGAAAAAAAAGACTACACAAAGCCAGCCTGTCTTCATCTATCTTCTCAACAAAGCAAAAAGAAACATGGCTCCATTTTTAACAGGGCACTTCCACTGAAGTGCTTCCTTTGTCTGTTCTTTGTGTTAATAAAATAGACACCTTTTTCTTATGATAGCTGAAGTTATTTTCTAATTACTCTATTATCAGATGATATTAAAAAATACTCTGTAGGTGTAAGAGGGGCACACAATAATTACAATACAACAAATGTCAAATAATTGTAAGCCCTCCATTTGTAGACAACAACATGATACTAATGTCAGAGACAAAAAATGCACTTTCACTTCTAATCCTACCTCAAAATGAAAAATTGCCAGCAATAGCATTGGCAGGGTTCCACTTTTGTGTTTTTCAAAGGTTTGGTAGCAAATTCACACACAGATTTTGTTCCTCTTTATTTTATTGCTTTTCAGCAGGGATCTGAGAATCAAGCTGGGTTTTCCATCTCCAACATCACCATTAGTAATAAAGGCTATGTTGGCCAAATTATGATCACAATAATCTGTGTGTAGTTCCTCTGTTATCAAGAGATTTGCCCAGACATTACTGGTGAAGAAGCCCCTGATTGGTAAGTGGCACACATGGATACCTTGGTGCATGAGGAGGATGAGCTCTACAGGCTCCCACGGGTTTAAATGAAGTAGAAAGCAGCAAATGTTTCACTTCTGTCATTCAGGCAGGCGGAAATGACTCTGAATACTCAACAGCTTGGTCCGTGCAGCCACGCACGGCAGCAGCACACCCTGAGACACGGGTGACAGTCAGTCAGGTATTCCTTACCTCGGAGCAAAGTCCATAGCACCGTCTGGGCAGGTAAAGCCCTGCAGCTGCTGTCAGGGCAGTTTAGGGCATCCCTCCCCACTGCTCACGCAGCCATGGTGTGTGCAGAGGGCACAGGGGTGCTGCCCATGGCAGCTCAGAGCAGCCTTCACAAGGGCACAGGCATTCAGAGCGGCACAGATGCCCACGCCGAGGTGCCAGCCATGGGAGGTAGGGACATATGGAAACACAGCTTCCACTGTGGAGAAAACATGGCCACCTGCCTAGAGCAGGGGAGGAATTAACTCTTAAAGGACTGCTATAAGATTGGCACTTTCCTGTTGTTGGAGGCCACTCTTCAAACCCAGCTGTCAAACTGGTGTGGAGAGGCACGGGCACCACTGGCAAGGCAGGACCAGCACAGCTGGTTGGAGGGACAAGCACGAGCCATGGGCAGTGTGAGTTCCACAAGGCTCTGCGTGTGCTGAGTGACACAGGGGCTGGGAAGTGTGAGAAGAGGTTTTTGAGGGGCCAGGTGTAAGCAGGTTTGGGATTGGAGGTTTCCCTGTGACCCCTTTAGACACTCCTGACCTCCACTCTACATGACTGCACCAGTCCACCTCCCTCAGCAGCTGCTTCCTTTTCCACCAGCCTTTCCCATCTCTGCAGGGGCACGCTGAGCCTTTGGCTGTATGGCTGCACCAGTGAGGTGGAAGGGCTGAGTTCTTCACAGAAGTGACCTCTTTTACCTGCCTTTTGCAACATCAGCATGCCTAAAATGGCAGAGTGCTACTCTGGTGTTCGCAGGGGTTCCAGGATGAGGGAAGAGACAAGAATCTTGACTCCATGTTTCAGAAGGCTGATTTATCATTTTATGATATATATTATATTAAAAGTAAATGATATATTAAAACAATACTAAAAGAATAGAAGAAAGGATTTCATCATAAGGCTAGCAAGCAATAGAAGGAATGATAATAAAATCTTGTGACTGACCAGACAGTGTGAGACAGGTGGACTGTGATTGGCCATTAATTAGAAACAACCACATGAGACCAATCACAGATGCACTTCTTGCATTCCACAGCAGCAGATAATCATTGTCTACATTTTCTTCCTGAGGCCTCTCAGCTTCTCAGAAGAAAAATCCTGCCAAAGGAATTTTTCAGAAAATATCATGGCTACAAGATATTTCACGGCTTCTTCACTCAGAAGACAGGGAGGAAATCCCACAGGTCTCTTCCCGATCAGCTGTGCAGGCTGCCAGGCCCCCACCTTGCACCAGGGACAAGCCTGTGTCAGCAGGGAAGGGTTAGCTGAAACCACTGTGTTAGGTCACCAAACCAGCACTTTCTAGCATGACTTCTCCTCCAGGAAATATTGAACTGTCATGTAAATACCTCCTCAAAACAAAATCTTCCCTATCTTCCAATAAAAATGAAAGTGGCTAAGGAAGTAACTTTCTCCTTGCTATTCATGACAGGCTGATACAAGACTTATTTTTTAAATACAGACACAACTTTTCTCTCTATTTAACACTTAAAGAGCAGGCTTCTTTATAACACTACACCGCACATGCTTGAAGCGCAGAGATGGGGACGAGCTGCCTGCCTCACTCGGGTGACAAGGGACATCTAGCGGCATCGTGGCTCCCAGCACCACTGCCCCTGCTCGGCCTGTAGGGACAGCAGACACCTCACCTGTCCCCCACGATATCCCACCCCAGGGTAGGGAAAGCCCACGGCTGGTACAGGAGTGACAGCCCTCTGCTTTCCCCAGCCTCACATCCCACCTGTGTGTGCAGAGCTACACTCCTGGGCATCCTCCTCTCTCCATCAGCTCTGCCCAGCTTTTGCAGCCCTGCTCCCATTAATTTTCCCTAATAACATAATCATATATTATACATATAACAATTTATTTTCCATAAGAGGCTGGTTATCTCAGTGGCAAAGGCCTGCTGTGGACAAGAAAGCATGGACCCTGTTCCCTTTATTTAGAGAAATAAACTGCTTCAGAAGAATATCTCTCTGTGTGAAACTAAAATAAATCAGTGCATGGTTAGAATAAGACACTTGAAAATTGCAACCACATCTCCTGGAAAAAAATATTTTGTTGAATTAAAAAAAATAATAAATAATGGCATTACATCCAGCTTAAGTATTTACATCAGTAATAAAAAGTCAAGACATTGTCATTGGAACAGATCAGTACATACTGAAAGATGTGGGTTTAGATTAGGTAAGAAGAAGAAATTGTTTACTGAGGTTTCAGTTGCACAGGAGGAGTTTTGATGGTCCTGTCTATCAAGGCAGCATCAAAATGCTGCTTTTATTTATTTATTTATTCTTTTTGCCTGGTTTAAATTTCTCTATCCAAATCCCAAAACACTACATGATTGAAAGAGTAACAGAGGGCTGGAAGCAGCGCTAAACCTGCTGGCTATCCAAAGTTCTGCGACTTTGATTTAAGAGACCTCCTGCGGTTGTGGTCCACCTGTGCCTCAGCCTGGACTTGTCACATATGTTTAAGAATAGCTGATTTATTAGTTTTCCTTTCGTGTTCTGTTCCAAAAATAATGAAGAACATTTGTGGCTGAGAGGAAGTAAAAAACTGGCCTTTTGGGAGATGCAAGAAACCCACAGAAACCCTGACTCATCAAACTCACTTTCAGTTTGTTTGGCTGCCTCCTATTCCTCCTTTTTTTTTCCCTCTGCAAAATTCCCCTGATCATCTCTGCCAGGTTTATTGCTTTACCCATTCACTGTCTTTCTCCTTCTTCTGAAAAGCTCTTTTAATTGTTTCCTTTTATACTTTTTTTCTTCCCCAGTTTCCTGCTCCCCAAATATGTGTCCCGTCTACCATCACCTCCTGCAAACATTGAAACCCCCTTCTCACAGGAAACATTTAAAGAAACAAATTTGTCTTTTCCATTTGCTATTCCTCTTGGGAAAAGAAAAACAAAAACACAAATTATTTTTTCTATTAAAATATTTCACCAAAATTCAAATAAAACAATGCTTATATGTACAGCAGTAGATTATCTCCTTTTTATTACTCCCCTCCTTTTTTTTTTTCTTTACTGAGTAAAAGTGCTGCATGTACTCTGCGCAGAAATATGTAAATCACCATCTTGTTTTCCCCACAGCCCATTGTGGCTATAACAATAAGGGTGTCCCAAATACATAGCTGGCAAATTGCAGCCACAAGTGAATGATTAAAGAACTTTCAGGCAGCACTTCAAGGCACTCCACTGCTCAGAGCATAAAACCTCCTCCCCTCTTCAAGCAGCCAGCCCAGGAGAGACACACAGCTTTAAACCAACATGAAACAATTAGAAATGTCGGAGCAAAGGTAACCTGAGGCTTACCTGAGCTCAACAGAATATTATTTCGGTATGGAAAAAAGGACTAACAAACGGAGATATTATTGCTAAGTAGCCAGACGGTGAGCAGAGGGGACGCCGGTGTGTTTTAGCAGCGCTCAGAATGAAGCTTAGGGGATGGCAGCCAGCAGTTGGCACTGTTGCTCCACTGCAGAAGGGACGGGCAGCAGCGCGGGGAGCGCAGCCCGGGGACAGATGTCCCGAGGAGCATCACCCGCACACACAGCCATGGCACACGCTGCCTGCACACCAGCACGCCCACGGGAAACACACGCTCTGTGCGGACATGGCACAAGAAAGGAGGAAAGACTTCCATCGTGCATAAAAACACCACCCTCGCTGGCTCAGACACTGCAAGTGCAAGTCTCAATCTAATCTGTCGTTCAGGGCAGCTGGGAAAGCAGCACTGCTATTCAAAAGAGTTGGGAAATCCAGACCAATGTGTCACAAAACAGCCAGTGACGAAGTCCTTCACAAAAGTAACAACATACTTCCAAACTCACTGCAAGACCAGAAAATAAAAGCCTTCTTCTATTCCCTCTCCTCCAGGGATTTGCAGTTTGCAGCACTGCCCGCAGTAGTGACAGGTGGTGTGGATGAGTGAGGCAAGGCCAGAAGAGGGGATGTCACAGTGGAAAGACAGCCCTTGCAGAACACGCTGATATGAATAAAAAGGCTTTTGGTAGTTTTCCCCATCACACAGCCCTTCACTACCTCACAAGCCTTGAAAAAGTCACAGAGCAGCAAAATGTAAAACTAAATCTTGTGGCTTTACCTGCTCCCCCTGCCCCCTTCCAAAAACATAAAAAACAAGCAAAAAAATCTCCAAATGAGAAACCAAACAAAAAAGGCAATTAAACTACTTACACCTGTATGGCAGGGATGGGAGAATCTTACTGGGGAAAAATACTACCTCCATCCACAGAACTGCTCCTCTTGGATTTCAGTACATGTCTTAGCAAAATTGTTAAATAACAAAAAATATATAAATAATTAAATAGGAACTAGTTAAATTTAAAAATATGAGAAGATAATCAGTTGGAAACATCTGGGAGGTGAGAAGAAAGGAACTTAAAAAACCAAACTAAAACAAACCCAACCACATTTCATTGTGAATCTGTGGAAAAGGAAACCACTTCAGTACTTCACACTGGGAATCTTATCCATTCCAAGTGCAGGAGCATGAAAGCTTGTCGGAAGAAAGGGTTGGTGTCTGAGCTCTGTCTGAGCTCCCTGCTCAGCACCAGAACTATTTCATCACTGAGGGTTGCTCTGAAATCAAGGTTATGACTGGCCTTGAACATACAAGACAGGCAGGCAGACAAAAGTCTGGTCTAAACGGATTGGGTGGTTAAGGGCAAGAGGTTCTTAGTCTTTCTGCTGGTCACTGGTTTGAGGAGGGGAAAAAGACTTCACGATAGTAAAGAGAGAAAGACACAAAGAAAACAAAGAATTGTTGAGAAATAGCAAAGAAACATTCAAATAAATTAATCTGGATTTCCAAAAAGAAAATTGGCAAAGGTGCCAGAGCAGAAGTTTCCCAGTGTATTAAAGAAACCATCCAAGAACAAGAAACAGCTTTGTCTAATACTGTGCCACAAGAAAAACTTGACAACAGAAGCAGCAAAATCCTTCCCTGCTGTGATTGCAGCAGCAGCAATTCCAGAGCACATTCCAGGGGGACATGTATACACTGCATTTGGTTAAAAAGCCTGAAAAATAAGTAATTTGTTCCCTTATATTGAGAAAACTATGCATTTCCTAGAGAGGAAAATAAAATGAGGCAGTTTAGTGCTACATTACCATGTGTGCCTATTGCAGTGATCCTCATCAGGGAGGAGCAGCCCTTTGGGAGCTGCACCTGAGTTTCTCTACCTGCTATTGGCACAGCCTCCAAGATAATTTTGCCAGAGAGGTGGCTTTGTGTGACTACATTCCCTCACAGAGCAAGCTTACCACCAACCATATAATTTTTGCTATTTTGTAAATTCTAAAAGAAAATAGGATGATATTAATGATCCTCCTTTAATCTCCCTTCAGTACTTATTTACTGAGTTGTCTCACATTGCTACCTATAGTTACATACATTCTCCTTAGTCACAGCAGCACATGAGCATCTAGATAAAGGTGGTACAGTTTTGTCTCTTTTAGGTTTACCTGACACCAAGGCCCCAGTTATTGTCTGAGGGGAGGTGATATACTATAGAAAAAATAAATGCCCTGCATTGAGAAAGCAGCAGCTGACTTCTCCATGTCTGTGTCACACAGCATTGTCTAAACCATGAATGCTTCACATATTCTTGGCATTCACATAAAAAAAATTCAAACAATAAGGCTTAAATTCCTTGTGGTTATTTTCTGGGGTCTCCACTTGCAGAGAGAAAGGCAGAATGAAACCCATCAGGCCTGTCAGGAAGACTGCATCAATTTCATGCCAGCTTTGTCCATTGAAGCCCCACTACCATCACAGGGTTTGCTGTACAGACTGAAATGAGCTTTGCCTGTATCCAGTAATAAAATTTGGCAGCTTGTTTCACAAGGGAAAAATTACACAAGATGCATTTAACCTCATTTCTGACTCTGCCCATCACTTTCAAGGAAGCTGCATCAGTTTTCTTAGTGGAAAAACTAGATGCCTCTAGTTACAGGGAAACCTGGATCCTAAAATACCATCACAAGACGTCCCCTGAGCTTCAGCCAACCAAGCAGAGGTGCTCCTGTAGCCCTGATGGCTTCTTCCAGCCACCCTATGGAACACCAGCAGCCAGGGAAGGAGCAAGGACTCCTTACAATTTTATAGTTTCTGGACCACATTAGCTGCACCCATTATTTATGTGCTACAATCACTGCCCATGCTTAGGTGAGACATACCTCAAGTGTTCACAGCTGGCTGAGGAGAATGGGTCCATTCAGGCCTGGCTGCAGACTGCCTTTGCCTTTTTGAGTGCCTGGGGAAAGCCACCAAGATGGATCTGTCCCCATCCTGATTCCATCAGGTCTAGAAATTTCCTCTGATTCCCTAATAAAGGAATAGAGGTTCAATGGGTGTAAGGCAAAGCAGCTATAAAGGGAGCAACGCCTGTGTATGCTCTCTGTGAATGGCCCTCACCTTTCAGAAGAGAAAATCTTACATTCCCCACATCGTGCCTGTGATATGAGGTTAGATAAAATAGTTTAGGAGACATGGCCTGGCCTGTAGTCCAGCTGTCTGACCACAGTAACCACACTCTTTCCTTATAAACAGGACACTGTTTCTTCTGGGTATCTGGGATTTGCCAGTTCAGCTTTATTCAGCTCACTAGAATGATTTTTTTTTATTGTTGTTGTCATTGTTCTTCTTAATCAATTTTCAAAAATCAAAGCAATGGCTGTGGAACACTGTTCAAAAACACTGATTTTTCTGCAGCTTTGGTGAAACATGGAAAAATCAGCTTGAAGTGGGTTGATTAGCTACCAGCAAAGGTTCTCAAGGAAACTTCCCTGAGAAACGCAGTCATCTTCTGAGACTGACACCCACTTGCAGCTTATGTCATAGCTCACAGAACAAAATCATCACCATCACTTCAGGTATTTCAAGCTGAGATAGAAGGACAGCTGAGAGCTGAGGTAAGTTCTGCTCTAGCAGAGTGTTAGGAGAATACAGTCAATGACCCCAGGGAGGATTTTCTTTCTGGTCCCCAGTTAAAGCAACAACCACTAACCTCCTGCCTGATAGTGTTCACTCCCCATTCAATAACCTCTATGTTTACATTACCCATCATGTAAATTGCCTGGACATAGTTACAAATATTCCATTAATAACCTCTACAAGATCTCCTGCTGTCTTGCTCTGCTCAGGTATTCCATGGCTGACTCTGGCCCACACCCATAATTGCTCACCCTGACCTGAGTGAGGCTGCAGAATCACTGTTGCTCCTGCTCTGGATGGATGGCAGATCAATCACAAGCACCCACTAAGAAAACACAATTTGTTTGTAATAAACCTTCTAAGATTCCTTCTATTCTCACACAGGGTCCAAGCCTTGCCACCTATTAAATACCATCAGTCAGGACACTCTTAGGTGCTTCTAATCTGTCCTGGTATGGTAGAGCAGAGTTTTTTGTCTTTGGCCAGAAAGACCTCTGAGTCACCTTCTGAGGCATTGAGAAAGTTGGCTTTCTTCTGTGCTCTCTCAGGAATTCAAACATTCTACATTACAGCATATATAAAGTATACACAATGGAGTTCTTGGGGGGTTAGAGCAAAAAGTAATAATCTTTAAACCACGGGAAGGGAGGTTCAGAAGGAGTGTAAGGGCCTGCTTTCCAGCAGGTGGGATGATGAAGCAGAGAACCTGGGGTGGTGTGGGACCTTGAACCCTGGATATCCTCGAGGACAGCTCATGAAAACAGTCATGAGAGACATCTGCCTGCAGTTGATTCTCCTTCTGAACACATGCCCCAGCCCCATCACCTGTCTGTGATACCTAAATGTCACAGAGGGAGCAGCCATGCTCCTCGAATTTAAAATGAGATCTATTCCTCTGGGTACTGTGACAGTAGCACTTCAGGGAGATGCAGAAATGCTCTCTCTTTCAGACCCCAGCTGGGGTTATTTTACAAGGACAGCTTTCCAATCAAAAAGGGAGCAGAGCTAAACTATTTCTCTGCCAACTCCACCCTCCATGAGCATATGCCAATCTCTCTTTGGACTTTGTCCCTGAATTGGAAAGGTAACCAGAAAGCATCAGATAAGAAACTGGACACATCAAAATAGGCAAACAAAGCCTGAAGGACTTTGACAATAAACACACATGGAGTGAAGACACTTTCACACAGATTCCTTACTTCGGTGTGTAGGAGGATCTACAGCAGGAATTTCATTTAGGAGAATGAAATACAACATTGAGATTTTTATAGCAATCCCTAGCCACTCTCTCTGGTACTTTTTGTATCACACACAGACTACAAGCTTACAGAAGTGTCAGTTTTGGGCACCATACCAACATGGGATGACTGCAGGAACACCCTGAGTGGTAATACAAACAGAGATAAGGGAAGAAGAGCAACAGTGAACAAATGCAAATACACTCCTGTTGACCAGAAA